CTCAGAAGTGGCCAGTTTGTAGTACAAATGTAGTACGGGAAAGAGCTTTTCGGAGCTGGGCTCAGAAGTGGCCAGTTTGTAGTACAAATGTAGTACGGGAAAGAGCTTTTTGGAGCTGGACTCAGAAGTGGCCAGTTTGTAGTACAAATGTAGTACGGGAAACAGCGTTGCGGAGCTGGGCTCATAAGTTTTGCTTTTAGTCTGTGACAGACAGTGTGGCGAAGTTACGTCCGTGATGTCCCTGCGCCATGCGGATTTGCGCGGCCTTGGTGGAAGGTGCGTTTGCGCGGCGCCGTGCCACTGGGAGCGCGAAACATGCCAAGACAAAAGCGCAAAACTGATGATCAAGCCAAAGTGAAATCGGCGGTCTCTTTTCTGTCCTCCTCTCGAGGATCGGCGCAGGCCTCAAAGTCGTGAGGCGAAGTAGCCACCTATGGCGGCGCAGGAAGTGGCGCCGTAGCCGGTAGGGCCTCTCACAAAGGCTCGGGGAAAAGGGGTCCCTTCGGACACAAACCTGGCTCAACGGCGTGCGAAAGTGAATCAAAGGTGAAAGCATGTGCAAGGACACGCCCCAAAGATTCTTCACTGTAGAAGGCCGTTGCAGCCGAATTCAGCAAGTCACGCCAAGACTTATTTTCATCAAGTTCTCCGGAATCGTGTACGTCAGGTTCCGGAGCAAGTAGCTTCTTTTTCTTCTTGGCGGACAGGAACTGAGGGTCATACTTCAACTTGCTGCCCTTGCAAAAACCGGGTCATCATCTCAGCTGCAGCTGCTTTGGTCAGGCTGTCAGCAAGTTGAACATCAGATGCAACCCACAAAACTTCAGTCTTTTGCTTGGTCAAATGCTCAGAGACGGCAATGAGCTCTAAGGACGTGTACTTGTCTTTCATGGAGTAGCCAGCCACTGATGGCATCGCCTTTACGCAGGCAATCGTAGATGGGCTTCGCGTCGATCACGACAGCGGCTGGCGCCAAGCAGTTTGTCGTTTCTGGACGCAACAAATCAAGCGTGCATCCATTCAACTCGGACCACTCAGCCCTCACATACATCAGTTCGGCTTCACCTTCTGCTAAGCTTTGAACCTCGGCAGACAAAGAGCTTCTGGCGACTCGCGCCAGTTTGTGTGACCGCCAGCTCACGGGGTTGAAGAAACCGCGAGTTCCACCAATGAAGGACTTGTGGACCATTCCGACGATGTGTCCTCCTGCGCTCGACAAGTCTGGCCTGTTCCCTACGGCAGCATCAGTAAAACAAACAAAGCCAATTTCTCTCCAGTTCTTCGCGCCCAGCTGTCAGCGCTGGCGATGCATCTCACGGCAAAGCTTGTTCACTTGATGCAAAACATCTTTTCCTCCACGTGGCAAGGTGCTTTGGAGCATTGACACCTTGGCTGAGTGTTGTGGCCCAGATTCGAGAGCTCTCCATTGCATGGCTCCCAACAAAGCACGGGCCTGGGTCCTCTGAGGCGGTCACAGTCTCTGAGGAGGTGTCAATGGTGACTTGCATCAACTCTTCACAAAACTCATGGTGTGAAAGTTGAAAACTCCAATCTGCCTCTTCAGAAATGCCAACGCGACAGTGGGTAAAGGGGGTGTCCTCCCAGGGCGTCCAGGAGTAGGACTTTTGGAAGGAGTCAAGCACATTCTGCCAATTCGGCGAGGACGAGCATCCTGAAATGACAAAATCATCCACATGGCTCCCAATGAAGCCAAGCGTCTCCTTGGCGGTAGAGTGTTGGCAGATCCAGACGCAGGGGTCTGTAGTGAGGCGCTTCATCTTCAGGCGCTCCGTGATGGTCTCATTGACCTCAGCATACCAATCACGGGGTGCACTGACTAAGCCGTAGGCGCTCTTCAGCATGCGAGCGATTTCACCTGGTCCACAACCAAAACGTTCACTGAGCTCCTTGACAGGCTGTATGAAAATGTCTCGGCTCTTCTGACCATCTTTGCCTTGCAAAAATGCGGACTTTGCGTCCGCTTTGCAGAGCTGCCAGTGATTCATCGAGGCCATACCAAGGAGAAGTTGTCTGTTGCGCTTGCTCATTGACGTACTCAAGCTTTCTAGATCTGGATTAGTAGATCCCAGTAGCACTATTCGCGCCTTGCGTTTCACCACTGAAAGATCACCATCCACGGCCTTCAGCACTAAGACCCATCGAGTGCGCATCAGGCGCGAAGCTGGAATCGCACCTGCAAAGCGTTCACACGCTTTCTGAGACAGCCACTGGTTGACCTCGACAAGTTTCGCTTCTTGCATAGCTTCTCTCTGCTCCTTGGAAAGCTTTTTCCACGCCACCTCCGCACCTTTTTGAACGGACTTGGCAACAAACTTGTTGGGGTTCTTCAGGATCTTCTTCCATTCCTGCTCGTTTGCTGGAATGGGAATGGTGACGCTCAGGATCACGTCATGGTCCTCAGAATCCATCCACAAGGCCACATTATCCAAAGCAGTTGGTGGCACAGGTGTCTCTCGAGTGACATGCTGCGGTCTAGTTCGTGTTCGCGTCGAGCTCGTCGAAAAGCACTCTGTCTAGCAGCTATAGGTCCTCGGAAGACAATCTCTTCAAAGGAGGTAGTCGCTGGCAAGGAAGATGTCGGCCTTGGAACAGGTAGAGCTGGAATCAACTCTTCTTCAGAATCATCTGCTATAGGAGCGGGTGCTTCAGCAGCTTGGGGCACAGGAGGTTCAAGTAGAACTACCGGTTGAGCAGGACGTCGAACAGGTGGTCCACGACTTTGACTTCGACCATCTTGTCGACCACGACTTCCAGATCGTCCAGCTGCCATCAAATCCTTGGTCAAATCTTCATACTGGCCTTTATCTAGTGTCTTGCCCAGAGTGGCGAATGTCCAGGGAAGTGTCGGAGCTGAAGTGGCTTCGGCCACCAACTTCTCTCGCAAAGAGGCATGACGAAGCTGCGAGGTATGTGCCTTCTTCAGTCTTCCTTGGGCAATGAACCAAGCG